ATTCAGGGTACATGCCATCACTGCTTTCATTCTAATTTCAGATCATTTTATTTTTGGAAAGGTCTATCTCAAGTTTAAATGCTTCATATACTTAATAGAAGCCTTTTTTTTCAACAAGGTCATTCTTGTCCAAGCTATTAATACCTATATCATCAGCATACCCCACCCTTCATCCTTTGTACATTGTCCTCAGGAGGGGAAACCAGAATGCTGTTTTCTGTTCATAGATTGATTTAGGATATGCTCTGGAATGTTTAAGTAATCAGTACCCATCTCTTCACATCTGTGCCTGTATATGCTCAGTGCATAGTCTAGGATGAGATTAAATAGATTGGCTCCCTCATTTCCTCCTTCTCATACTCCAGATGAGGTTTGGAATATTTCAGCATTGGGGTCCTCACCTAGCAGGTTTGATTTTGTGGACTGGTATAGTTCTTCTATCAGTTCTAGACAATCAGTGAATTGAGATTTTGGAAGGCAGTTTTTAATGGATGAGAAGTGAAAGTCTCTATTGATGTGTTCATATTTTGCTGTGAGGTCTACATAGCAGGTATACAATTTTCTGTTGGAGAGCTAAGCATTTTCCTGGAGTGCTTGATGATATATATTCCATCATTACATCCCTTACCAGAATGAAAGCTAAACTGGGCTGTGAGGAGTTGATTTTCATGGAATGGTGTCAGCCAAGTTAATATATTGTTAATTAGTACCTTTACCATAATGGATCCAATTGAGATACATCTATATGTGTTGAGGGACTTAGGGTTACTTTTTTGTTTCTATAGTGCATTAAGGTGTGATACACCCCACCTTTTTGGGATGTGTTTCTGATTCCAAACTTAATGAAATTTAGAATGGATTGTGATATTAATTCAGATATTTGTTGTTGGGACTTCATCAGCCTCAGTTTCCAAACTGCCAAGTTTTACTAGCCTTAAAGAATTGTTTCTTTTTCATAAATTGATTCTTATCTGATCATTTCTATGAGATAAAAAGGAAAACATTTCAGTTGTTATAATTCTGTTAAGTGAAAATTGCAATGAAACCAGCATCAAGAGTTCAGTGAAAACAAGTATCAAGAATTGTGTTATGTACTGCTTTTCTATTCACACTTGTCTAGACAACCAAGAAACATACACAATACATGAATCTGTGTATCAATTTATTTTTGTGCACACACACACACATACAAACGTGTGTAAATCATAAGTCATTACTGACTATAATATTTATATACTAGGAAATGCTTTTTATACTTGCTTAGAGGTTTCAACTCTTTATACAAGAACCCTTTGACTTATTGATGATGCTTGACTATTTTATGTCAGATCATTTCTACATGCAAAATACCTTAAAAAGTGTGGGTCAGAAATGTTTCCTAATTGCTGAAGAGGTGTTGTGATGAAGAATGACTAAAGAAGAAAGAAATATTGGTAAAAAAAAAAATAAGGATTATTGGCAATGCTTCATCTAATAAAAATGTCCAATATTTCTAGTAATGTATATAAACAAAACAATAACAATAACAATAAAATACAGTGGTTCCAAACAATAAAAGAAAATAAGGAATACGTTTGTGCAGGTTAGATTTGATCTTTGCAAAATCATTAGCTGTTGTAACTCATATGGTAAAAGTAGCACTCATAGTCAGATGAAAAAAAAATATGATGCCAACTGTATTTTTGGGTGCAAAAGTTGTGTTGTTTGTGATATTCTTATTGTAATGTCAGACAGTTAATGTGATCATAGATTGTGAAACACTGACTGAGATAAGCCGTTTTTCAAACGAAACTAGGACATTTATTTAAGGATGTTATCCTGCTGCATAAAAACACCACCCTGACATGGCCAAAGTCTAGCTCCAGCAATATGGTTAGGATAGTTTACCATATCCACTGCATAGTCCTGACTTGGTGCCTTTATTGGTTTGCATCCCACAAATGACATTTATTCTGGAAGTATTTCCACACAGATAATGCTGTTGGTGCAAAGGTGCAAGTGTAGTTCCAGTTGATTGATTCTACATTCTTCAAGATAGGCACTCTTCAGTGCTAGTTAATTGATAGAACATGTGCATCAATTTCAATGGTGATAATGTAGAAAGTAACATCTGCACAATATTTTATTCTTATAGAAATAAAATAGTTGGATTAGTAAGTGTTTGTACCTTACTTTTTTCAGATATCATCATATTAATATACAAATTTATTTACATAGAATTTACTTGTGTGTGATGAGCTGATGCCATGTTTCTAGGCCTCCAGCTAGAATAAACTATATCATTTATTCTTAGATCACCACAATTGTCAGAAGACATACATTAATGGACATTGTCATTTTATATTCTACATGAAATGGAGAGAAATACACAATTATTTTATTTCCACTGCTTATTCATTGCTGGCTCAAGGCCCTTCACAAATTCTTTCAGGACAATCATGACTGTGTTCTTCTCTATTAAATCTTACTAACAAACCCTCTTATGTCAGCTATCCATCTTCTATTTGATCTTCTTCTATTATGTGTGCCACCTTTTACTCCATTGCTATGTATCCCACCTAATCACTTGTATGTCTTTTTGACCTGTGATTCATATTGACTTCTGTCTCTTAAGAATTATCCCTAGCATTGCTCTTTCCCTTGATCCTTGTGCATTTTTCAGTTTGTTTTCACACAATTTTAATTGCCACATTTTGCAACCATGCTTCATAACTGGTAATATGCATTTATTATAAACTTTATCTTTTTAAACATATTAGCAAAGTATTTTTCATGCTGTCACTATTTGTATTAAATATTTCTTAACCAATTATTATATGCCTATTTATCTAATTTTCATTATCTTTTTTTAATGCTTTCACCTGTCCTAAGTTTATGTATTCCTAGACTTCCAGTTCCTCATCTTCTGCTTTTAGGCTCTATTTTTAGAATGTTAGAATAAATTTTATTAATCAAAATAAAATCTATTCATTGTTGCCAATAATAGACAAGTCTATTCTGTTAACATAGAATTCTGGAGTTGTGAAACTTTCTTAACATTTTAAGCTGCTTCTTAAAGACCATCTCTTGTAGGAAATTGTCCAGGAACTTGAAAAAGTGGTATTCAATGAGGTCTGGTGAGTAAGCTGGGTGAGGCTGTTTCATAGCCCAATTTATTCAAATTCTACAATCATTTGTGAGATATTTAGTTGGGGTGATAGAGCTTTGATTTAGAAAAGTGTTTTGGTGCTTCATCTTGGTCCTGTTTCTGCATATATGCAATTGGTTGTTGTATAGAATCCAGTTTTGTTGCATGTCACAGTGCAATAAAGAAATGGATTGGTTTTGTTATGCAACACAAATGAAGCATAGTGCAGACTACAACTTGCTCAATTTTTGTTCAACTTGTTTGGCAGTAATTTGCTGAGCTTTTTTCCCACATTTTGCCCAATTTTCCATTCTTCTTTAAGCTCCTGAGCATGGATTTGCTTCAATAATGGCCTTCAGTTGGTTGCTATCAGTTGCAGAAAGATGGATTTTGTCTCTATTAGAAAATCTTTGGAAAGAATGTTTGACAGTCTTCTGGTGGCCAAATGCTTGGCTGATATTACAGTTTCTGCTGCTTTACATCCTATTTTGAACTTTTACAATAAAAGCACTCAGATTTGCTCCCCCCCTTTGATAGCGTAAAATAAACCATTAGCACAAATTGAGCAAAAGAATGCTCTAGAAAATGGTCTAAATTACATAAACAGCATTAAACAATAATTTACTCCACATTAAGCACACAGGTTTAACATAACTGTGGTGATGGAGAAAACCAAGTCTTATCTCAAAAAAGAATTTGTGTTCTCTGTTGAAAGAGAATATCAGAATCAAGATCAGGTTGACTTTAGTAACCACGAAATATGGTAATTCTTTGTTCTATCCTACCAGTCTCAACCAATCACAACCTTTATTAGCCCAGTAAAAAAATGCTATTTTGGACTTGCTTAACTCTTCATGGATGAAGAAGTAGTTGTACATTGCCATTTGTGATGTGGATTTTTTATTGTTTTGATTTATGACACCAGTATTTTCTGACATTGAACTTGCAAGACTGATTTTTAACCCTTGGAATTACAAATTCAAACTTATAATTATTTTTGATCTGAACCACCCTATTACTATTTACCTCAGTAACAGAAACCACAATCATTCTTGCACCAACCTAATATCTATGTATTGTTACTTATTGTATATTTTATCATATAAATAAATCGAGATATACCTGAAAACATTGATTTATACATATATTTATAGATCTGATCTTTTTGTACAGACTCAAATTTATTGAAGATTTACTTTGGGATTTCCATGGTAACAGCTTGCTGATGTCCTTTTTCATTTTTTCTTCCTTGTTAAAAGCATCTGTAAATTCCCAGTCAAGCAAAAAAAGAGTTTTGTTCTATTTCTCATCGGCCTTCTCTTTTGTTTTTCCTTCTCCAGGATTTTAACAAACAAGTCTGTGAATCACTTATATCTGATCTTCTGTTGGAAAATTTCTCTGTAGGTTATAAATAGAGTAAACGAAATGGTAAGTAACTCTTTAAAATGAAAGTATGAGGTTGAAGAGGAAAGGGAGTGATATATGGAGAAGGAAAGGAAAAAGAAAGCTGATGCAAAGAATTCATGCTTTATTTTACTAGATCTGATTTTGTTTCTTTCAATATCTCCTCCTCCTCCTCCTCCTCTTTGTCTAGTTAATCATATAAATCAATTTGAACCAAGATTAACTTCCTACCATTAAGACTAAATGGATGCCTAGATGAGCCTAACTTGATCCTTCCTTCATAGCAGAATCTCTCTTGACTGAGATCAGCTTCAGCCTCTTCAGCTGACATTGCTTATCATAGTTACAAATTGTTTTCTTTTTTTTCAATTTTCTCTCTTTCTTTCTCCACTTTACTTTTTTCTTTAGTTTCTTTCTAAATTCATCCTTTTGCCATATTGTCTTTCACATATTTCTCTATATTGAAAACATGGTAGCTTATTCTTTCAATTTGTTCCTAGTGTTAGATGTGGTTTTACTGTATTAAAATTTACACTCTTAATAGATATATGCTGACTTTAAAGGATTTGTATAGAGGATGATAAAAGCCATTCTTGCTGGCCACCAATTGTATAAGCATCTCTATGCTAACTAAGAAGCAAAAGTGCAACCAATATAAAAGAAGGAAAATCCCAACTTGCTGTTGTAATAAAATTCTTATACTGGTGATCAATTATTTACTTGTAAAACCTACAATACTGAAACTGTAACAGTTCTAGTAAAAATGACATCCAACTCCTTTTTGTGTACTTTGTCATTCTATTAGAACTAGTTTCAACAAGTAAAAAATAAAAGGCTGAGCAGTTAAAGGATTTTCTGCCTGTCTGATTTCATTCTTTTAAAAATCAGAATTCAAATCTATTTTGTTGTTTCACAGATTCTGTTCTGTCAAAATTTCAATGAATAACATTTGATTACCATATCTAAATTTTATACAGAATAAGGGCTAAGGAAGGAGTTTACATTAGAAATACTATGTTGCATTGAAAGCAGAGGTGATTACCTCAGATATGTTATTGATTTTAATAACAGTTTGTTGTGTGTTGGTTTGAATGAATCAAGAATAAAATGCCAATATAAAAGATCCAAGGAAAATTATTTTGTCCTTGTATGATCTGAATAATGTATAAAGCAGCCTTGATATGGAAGGAATCATTGTAAGGTGTTACACAATTCCTCATCATAATGGAGCAGTTTGAAATGAGCCTTTGTAAAGAAAAATAAAATGTGTCAATGAAGTATTAATGGAGTCATTGTAATTCTTCTGTTCAAACGTCAAAAAGTCAGGAAGTGGATTATTGCTAGAATTCTTGTTCTATTAAGGGACAGGATTTATAGTTTGGTATCGGATTGCTTAGAATAACTGCTTTACATTTGATTGCAGATAGCCAAATAAATATTGATGAGGTCCAACTACAAAGAGTTTATTCACATCTCTCATGGTTCTGAGTTTCCTCAAAGTTGAGGTCTGTGTGTGTGTGAGTGAGACTTTAGTAGAATTTATACACATCTCTCATGGTTCTAATAACACAACTTCCTTCTTGACTGGAGTAGAATTCTACAAGTAAAGACTTGTCAGCTTTTTATATGCAAAATGGCTGATTGATAAAACGACCCTATCATGTTTTGAAAAATCCTTTCACGGTCCATGAAGAAGTTTGTGAGTGCGAGTTTTCTCATTTACCTGACTGATTTATCATCAACTCAAGGGTTCATAGTTGATGTTCTTGATGACATTTGAGAACCAGTGTTGCAATGTACAAATGCATCAAGAGATTTTTTAGCTTAATTACATGTAACTTGCAGCTGTGCACAGACCAAATCATCTCCATCCTGGGTATGACGATAAACTACATCTGGTTCCTGGGTAAGATGATAAACTATGTCCGACAGCAAGGCCTCTGATCAGGGGGTTTTGACCCGGGGTGTTAGCACCTGTTAGGGTCAAAGCTATGGGCAAATAATTAACCCCCAAACTGGAGTCAAAACACTATGAAAGTGTAAAAATGGGTTTTAATACCAGAAATACTTTGTAAAAAAAATTATTACCAGCAATACATTTTTGAAAAAAAAAAATATTACCTGTGATACATTTTTGAAAAAAAAAATATTACCTGTGATACATTTTTGAAAAAAAAAATATTACTAGAAATAGATTTTTGAAGGAAAAACATTACCAGCTATACATTTTTGAAAAAAAAAGTATTACCAGCTATAAAAGACTTGTTGGCATTAAATAACCCATTGAGGTTGATATACCATAAAACAAAACAAACCAAAGCAAACCAAATCATTTCTAAGTCAATATTTATGCATAACTTTTCATTTGCTGTTCATTAAAATGTTGGTTGATGATCTAATCTTCTGGGTTTTTTTTTTTTCATTATTGATTCAGTTTATTTCTTTCTAAGCAGAAAAGTTTCTTTAAAAAATATACCAGCCAATTTTTTACAACAAAGAGATTTGTTATCTGTAAATGTCCATACATGATATCAAAGAAAAAAAACTTCAAGTTCTCAGCTTGAAATTTTTACTACCTCTGTAAATGACAGTAAATCTATATTTGTAGTCATTATTCATTAGCACTTCCCATCCAATTAAAAATATTTTTGAATTTACTGCTAGGAGAGTGATTTGTATAAAATTCATACATTTCTTTCCAATCAGTATTTTGCATTGAAACTTAATACTAATGGATAATGAAAAGTGTTTGGCCCAGCCTACTTCCCAAAATCAGTATTCTGATGTTTGATCATTGGGAAGTAGAGTAGATCAAGAACTTTTCAGCATCTTCCCTCGTCTCAATACAACTATAGAAGTATTTTAAAAAATGATATAAACAGATATTTGGGGAAAGAGGGAAGTAAACTGTTTGTGATGTCTGATAATCTTATATGCAGGTCTTAACAGAAGTCAGCATAATAGAGAAATCATGACATCTTATAATTCAACACTGGGTAATTAGTAAGACTCTTGTTTGGATGAATATAAAATGAGTTGAATGAATGCTTCACTTGATTATTAAAACATAGAGATGAACATAGTGGACTAATATCTACAGGAATTTTCAAAGATTTACAGTGAATGACACTCTGCTCTGCAGTTTCCTATTTCATTCCAGTTTTGCTATACAATATTTAAAAAGTAAGAGAGTTCTCAAAGAACAAGGGATCAGCTCACTTGCCAAATGCCATATCAAATTGTTCAGATTTTTCACAAATAATCTTGAAGAAATCTTAATTCATTTGTATCTGTGTTCATCTTGTCTGGTAAATGTGAACTCCAATTCCGACGCAAAACTCTGACACTCTGCACATCAAGAGATTTACAACCCGACTGAGAAAAGGCTGGCGTTATATAGCCTCTCTCAGACTCATGCTGACTACTGATCAATACCTGCCCAGTATTGTTCGTATGCAAATTTTGTCAGCACTACCTACTCTAAGTAGAATGTCCTCTCGCAACAGCCAATTGTTAAAGAAGACATAACTCCTGCTGCTTACTGCACCACATGCAACCAACTTTGGGTCTCTTGTTCTCCATTACAGTCTTTTTCTTGGAGCCATGGACTTTTTCCATTTAAAAGCAAATATCAATTATAATTTTGTCATTGAATTTTTTAGTTGAAAAGAGAAAATAAAAAAAAGTCTTAGCTTTTAATTTTTTCAAAATAAAAAATGAATTATTTTTAGGTAGGGCTTTTCCTGTGTCCATCATTTTGGCCATTTTGCTAAAAAATGTTATTAACAGATTATTTTAATTTTTATTTTTTTAGATTATTTTTGCAATTGTAAGCATTTGTATGTATTTTGTTTGAAATATGAAGTATTGAGAATGTTCTTTTAATATATTAATCTCTAGTTGGACAATAATATTGCTTAGCACATCTCACAAATTGTTCCAATTACAGTTAAACCTATCATTGGTTTTTAATATGTGAATATTTTTTGTCAGTTTCCACATAATCCAGTGAATCACTTTGTTCCATTGTTTTCCCTTACATCTTTGTTTTAAATATTGAAAAATATCCTGTTAAGAAAAGACATGTGGTTTTCTTCAATAAAATGGGTTGGTTTTCTATACTATGCCTTTTCAAGGGAAAGTATTGTGCAATGCTACAAATTCTGAGTGCACTGAAATGGAAGAGAGTAAGTGAGGAATAAAGAGCCAACCATGAGATGGAGAAAACCAAAATTCTTTTTCACATCTTTCATCCTGTGTGAGAAGAGCATATGCAAAAATCTTCAAGATACGTTTTTGCTTTTTAGTGAAATTGACAAGTGAAGCAAATTTACTTTTGTCTCACTTTGAATTTTGACTTTTTTTGTCTTTCTTTTGTTTGAAGTTGTTTTTCTTCTTTATTTAATATTTTTCTTATCCTTCTTTACATTCTCTCACTTCTTGTTTCTTAGCATTTTATTCCTTCTCTGCTTGTTTTCACTCTCTACATTTCATTCTCCCACATAGATTTCTGTTTCTCTCTCTGCATCACATTTCCTCTCCTCATATCTTCCTTCCTTCCATTTTCACTCTCTTCATTCTTTCCTCTTGTTTATTATATTCTATGGGAATCATTCTCTCTAATCTTGTTTTCTCTTTCTCTATATCTCAGTCTCTCTCCTTTTCTTTCTGCATTTTATTCTCTCAACTCATGTTTTTCCTTTCTCTCTGTATCCTATTCCCTCTCCCCTTGTTTTCCTTCCTCCTTCCATCTGTCTGTCTCATTCCCTCAACTCATGTTTTCCCTCACTCTCTGTGTCTCATCCCCTCATCACTTGTTTACCCTATCTCTATCTCTCACTGACTCATTCCCTTTCATAATCTCTTCTTTCTGTAACATTTCTTCCCTTTTTCTCAATGATTCTTTCTTTCTCCTCTTCCCAACCTCTATGCATCTTATATCCTCTTTTTTTTCTTCCCTTTCTGATTCTCATTCTCTTTTTCATTTCCTTTTCTCTCTTCTCTTTCCCTTTTTTCTTTTCTTCATTTTTCAAATGATCTCTTATTTCTTCTCAAGCTCACACATTTTTTTTGTGTTTTTTTTATTGATACATTAGTTACTCCTTCTCATTTCAGTCCCACATGGCTGCATTGTTTGATTATTATTGTTTTCTTTTTCTTTCTTTGTACTTCAAAACATTGTTCTCTCTCCATAAAAATGCACATACACTCATTTTTCTTTCTTTTTTTTTTCACATTAATAACCTTTCTCATCCTGTCATTTACCTCTGTTTTACCATCTTTCATCCACTAAATTACTAACAGTTTACTTTGATTGTATCCAAATATACTGTCCTTAACAATCGTTGATTTTCTTTGAAGTCTAGACATAAACACCAATAGAAACAAGTTCATTCCACCTGCCAATCAATATTCCACTTAGAAAAGTATAGACTTCAAATAATGTACTTTTAAAACTCTTTCTTTTTTATGAAATATAGCGACACTTTGTTTGGCAAACACTAGTGATGCATAGTTCTTTAAAAATGAAGATACTTGGAACATAATTTCTAACAAAATAAATATTAGTGATCCAAAGGAAATTTTGAATTATCTATTTAATAAAGTTTATCAATGTCATAGATATTGCTCTTTTTATCCTTTATTTGACAACAGGATTATTGTTTCAATATTTAAAGCTTAAAATAATACTGCACAATATTTTATCATAAATGAGTAAAGGAAACAAATAATTTCATATTTTTGTTTAGTTTTTCTGCTCAACCCACAAATAATCATCTTTCTCAGATTAGGTCAGAAATGTTAATTTTGTCAGAAAGTTGTCTTCTATCTCAATCTCAGTCTGTCATGAATAGGTAATGTAAAAAGTGGCATAGTTATTTGACACATCTTTTTACTGGCTTAACCTTAACCCTGCCAAATGCTCAGCCAAATTCAAGTTTTGTTTGGATTATTTCTTGAAATTCTTGGATAATTTTTATTAAAAAAAACAACAAAAAAACTGTAAAATATTGATTGTAAGTGACTCTTGAGATAAATTATTTATAAACTTGATAATAAATTTTAATTTTAATTATTAATTTAATCATACAGTTGTTGAAGAATCTTTGAAAGTTCAATTCCTATAATTTATGATGCATGTCATTGCATTTTTAAAAATTCTATGATTACCTTATATTGCTTTCAATTTCCTAATTAATTATAGATTTATTTAAACAAATTTTGTATAAAATTCTTTCAGTTTATCGCCAGTGGTCAAATATTAAGTTTAAATTCTTTGTCAAAATTCTAAATTTTCAAAGTTAGTGAGAAAAAAAAATGTTACATTCAACAACTTCTTTGAAAAGAAAAATTGAAAATTTCTTTCTCATCAGAAGAATAAAAGAATAAGTAAAAGTTATTCATGATGAGAAAGATTTACAGAATTGTTAATAATCCTTATCTTATTACAAGCATTTTTGGTTAGTTTTTAGAGTTGCCTTTATCAGTACAACTAAAATAGAAATCATTAATATACTTACCTATACCATGTGAATATATTCTATCCTAAACCATCAAGATCTTAACAAAACACTGTAGTTAATTAGTTAGCTTACTATGGCACAAGATCACAATAATAAGGAATTCAATAATGTATATCTTGAAAAGTGGTTGATTTTGATAAAAGCAACTATTGCTCACATCTAAGTATTTCTAATGACTGTTTCTGAGTTATTTTTTTACAGTGGATATGGTTGGAAATAATCTAATATTTACACAGTAGAAAATGGCAAAGATCAACAATATGATAAGAAAGATTCCATTGTGATCTGAAAAAACAACTTTTGCCAAGTGAAATATAATTTCTAAAGCATGTTAATTTTTAACTTCTGCAAATCAAGAATTAGTTGGGAAGAATCTTCTAACTCCTGGCCAATATTGATTGTCTTTGGTTTTTTGATGTCACTTATCCTTGGAGAGCCTACCTTACTTTATCAGTGACTTACTGATTACGATATAAAAGCTAACCAGTAAGTTTTCTTTTTTTTTCTGATCACTACTGCCATTTCCTTTTCAAGTTGTTACACTCATCTTCACTTATTTTCTTCCATTTCTTGATAAATAAACTTGAATTCTTGGAGATATTTTGAATTCCTTTGCTTTACAACTTCAACTATATCCACAAATTTTCTATCAGTCTGTAGTTTGAGCTGGCTATAGTAAAACATCAATCTTATTTGTCATCAATCATTTTTTTACTAAATTTGAAGTATGCTTAGAATCATTGACTTGCATCAAGGTCCAATAATATCCCAATTTGGAGTTCAGTTGAAGACTCCTTCAAGATGTGACTCAAAATATCAATGTATTGTTTCTTTCTCATCATGCCATCAACTTTAACTAAATGTCCAAGACCTTTTGCTGTAAAATAGCCCCAAAACATTAAACTACTACCTCCATACTTCACTGTAGGGACAGTGTTCTTCAGTAGATGAACTTCACCACTTTCCCTCCGAGCATTATTTTGACCAAAGAATTCTGTTTTAGTTTCAACAGACCATAATATTTTCTTCCAAAATTCATCATTTTTCTCAATATGATCTTTAGCAAACTTCAAACATGCCTTCAAATGGTGCACCTGCAAAAGAGAGGTCTTTCTAGGACAAATGTTCCTTTTTTTAAGAATACTACCCACCAGTTCACTGAGAAGCTATTTTACCCACAGCAGTTAATTCATCACTTTTTTTGTTGGGTGGTCACTCTAGGCTTATTCCATGTCTTCTTCTCATTTTGAAAATATTTGTTTACATCCACTTTCACACTTGTACTCTACACTACCAGTCTGTAAACTCTTCTAAATAATGGCACACAATAATAATAATAATAATAATAATAACAACAATGGGAACTTAAAAAAGATGAGATTTCCTGGCAATCTTGTCATACATTTCACCATTCCTATGACACTTTACAACTTCATTTCTAAACACTAGACTTTGTTCTTGTCTTTGATATGGTGACACTTATTGCATGTATGATGGACAAATCTGAATTGTTGGCAAAATTTTGTTCTTCCAAGTCAACAGTATTTTGCATATCATTTTTAAAATATAATATTTATTGTATATTAATGAGCTTTTTATAAATAAATGAATTTGCATTTTTCAATATAAAGAAAATTGTAACTATGCCAAAAATTTTGTCATTACTAAAATTTTTGTTGTTTGATTATTTGGGTTTTATTTAAATAATTTTCAAAACATTTTATTAAACATAATGAATTTAGAGTAAATTTATCAAAAATATTAATATTAAAAATAATTTTTATTGAACTATGCCAATAATGTTAATGAACATTGTACTTGGCTTATCTGAATGTTGCTTACTGGTTAGCTTTCATGACCTAATCAATTAAGTGCTGTCATCGTAAAATAGGTTCTGAATGATAAGATTTCACTAACAATGTGCCAAATAGGTGCTGACCATTTTTACATTGATCTAATATACGTCCAGTGGCTGAAGATTAATAAAACAGAAGACACATCTATTGTCAATGATAAACTGTTGTTTATAAAGAACTGATCATTTATGATCCACACTTTTCCAAACAGTTTGTAATTGATTATTGTTTCATGTCCCAATTTAAGAATAAATAGAGGAATTGCTTGTCTTGGTTTAGTGCAAAGTGAAATACTTCACAAGAACTAAAAGCAGTTCTCAGGTTATAATTAATGTTCATATCAGAAGAAAAGAGAAAAGAAAATGAGTCTGTCTTTATTATTTGTCAGATTGTTGTTATTTTAGGCTGGCTGTTTCTATTGTCTTGGGAGAAACAAACACAATATGTTGGGATTTATTGAAACTTATTTCTTTCAATGGTTGGCTTTTGTTGAAATGAAAGCATTTGGTCAATTAAAAATTCTTTTACTGCTTTTACATGACAAACACATTTTTGTTCTGTGTTCCCTTTTTTCATAGAATCTTAGTAGGATTAAGGCAATTCACTGTATAGAGGTAATCACTAAGCATTTATGTTGGGAAAGAAAAAAAAAAGCATCCCAAATAATCCTCCTTTTCCTCTTCTATCAGTTTAGCAACATTTTCATTTGAAAATAGTTCTTTCTAGCCATTTAATATTTTATACATTATTTCGTATTGTTTTTGTTTGAAATAATAAACAAAGTTGAAACAAAGGCATTTTATGATGAAAGAGATTGATAGAAAGTTGTAGCGAGATTAAGTATCAGCAAGAAAACAAAATGGATCTGTGAGTGTAGGCATCAGAAAAGGTAGACAATTGTGATTGTGACAAAGTCAACATTTGTATTAATGTATTCTTCTTAACAAAGACACAATTTCTCATGTTTTCCAGGGGAAGTATCTACTTGATTGAAGATAGAACAAATAAAAGAAAAGAAATTACAGTCTTTATTTATTTTTTCTTTACTTTTTTTTTTTTTTTTTGAGTCCTGGGGAATATCCGTGAAAGAAATCAATTTTGACAGAGCCACAAACATTTTCTACATTGAAAATAATGATCAATGTCAGTGCCATTTGGCTTTGCATTGATTGAAATATAATTTAACTAAACTTGCAACTAAAACCTGGAAAAATATTCTAGAAAAGTTTGTTTGTTAAACAGAAAGTTCTATTACTAAAAATAAAACTTGAGAAATTTTAAAAATCTAATCTAGAGAGAAACTTTAAAATAAGGTGTTGCTGATCATGTGTGGAGGTTTGAGGTCGCAGCAACCCCTATAGAAGGTAACCAAAATAACATACACAGAACATTGGAAAATAAAACCTTTAAAAGAATTGGTACACTTTTTTTTTTGCTCAAAATACCCAATCAATATGTCAAGCAGTAATATTAACAACATAAAGGATCTACTGATTAAAGAAAACTTTGTGTGCAAGAAACCTACATAATGATATTAAGCAGGAAGGAATTTGGAAACACAAGAGAGGAGAAGGAGAAAATTAATTAAACTGCCTTAAACAATGCAATTTTAATTGATAATTTATTATGATGAAAATGTATAGAAAGTACATTAATTCAACAGTAAAGTTATGCCACATTTCAACTTTGTTAACAAAACTCACTCTTATTACAATA